TCACGTCTAATTTCTTTACACACACACACACACACACACACACGCACACACATATATATACATATGTGTGTGTGTGTGTGCGTGTGTGTCTTTAGCGTGAAAAGAGTGAGAAAAAGAAAGTAAGATGTTTCAAATTTCCCAAGAGAATTTATAAAAGAAAATTTTTAATTTTTTTCAAATGAAATGAAAATAAAAAAAATGCGAGATAAATTTTAATTATGCATAATGGAAAATGCAATTTTGTGCTCATATTAATTGATATGCTTCGATTTGTCTGGTACAAGACCATTTTGATAGAAATCGCTAAATGTAGATTGACTTAGGTCACTTCACTACATCGGATGAAATCATGGCATTTTCTTTTGTTCGAACACCGACCATTCTCTGATAGTGAACACTTTCCTCATTAAATATAGGAACTTTTAGACAATGCATGCAAATATGCGTGCATATGCACAGAAACATTATATATATATATATATATATATATATATATAATGTTTGTATGTCTCTTTCTCTCTATGTATGTCAGTATGTCTTTATCCCTATATATATATATATATATATATATATATAAGGATAAGATAATATATATTATAAAGAAATTGTCTTTCGGTTATACATTTAGCCATTATCAAGGATGATTTTTGTCTTACTGATGTGCTATACTACTCAGCTACAAAGAAGCGTTTGATTAGCAAATCCAAATTGATGTTTTTAAACAAAAAATCTTCGACGATCTTTCACGGACAATCATATTTGCTCAAGATACGTATCTTAACGTAAACATTGACAACATATTATGAAATGGATTAAGTTCGTCAATTATTTCATATATTTTTCCTTGTACGTTATTTTAATAGATACAATTTATTTAAGTAAAATAATTTGGATTTTGCTAACCAGGCGCTTCTCTATAGCTAAGTGGTATAGCACGTGGGATTAAATTACGGTTCCGTATAGGACAAAGGTTCGATTCTTTTTGGCGAACGCATATTTTCTATGAAATTTCTCGAACATTTAGGCAGGTAAATGTAATTAATATTGTTTAATTAAAAAGCTGCGCATTTACTTAAAATAAACTGTATCTGTTAAAATAACTGTGGCACCTTGCATTAAAATATTCATAGAAATATGATTTAATTTTTTTTTTTACTCGGTTTACTAAACAGGTTGTTGATTTTTTTTTAAACGGAAAATAATTGAGTTGAAAATAATTCACTAAGATTGTACTTAGACGATCCTAAGGGAAGAAGAGGAAAGAAGAGAAAAAGGAAAGAAGGGAAGATAGAAAGAAGGGAAAGAGAGGTCAAGAAATGCAAAAAAGCGGTCATTAACAAAAACACGTATCAGAAAGGTATTTAGGTCAACATCTTGGCCGATTTTCGAGAGACAATGAAAAGAAATATTATTTAGAAGGGAAAGTCATTTTGATAAGAATGTCGGTCGAAGCGCATGACCGACTTTTTGCGTAGAAAGACTCATTATCAATTTGGAGTAAAGGGAAATTTTAGAACAATGGGAACGAAATCTTAATCTGGCGAAAAGGGAAATTTTAGAACAATAGAAACGAAATTTTTTTAATCGGAGAAAAAGTGTCTTTTGGGTTGAGGGGAGTGACCGGTGGAACTATATACAGATTCTGACCTATTAAGAATTGGAAACCCATGATAACAAAGTGGGGACATTTTCAATGTAGATAATTAAGATTTTCTGACTGTCGGGTCTGACAAAACAAGAGGTGAAAAAACGATTGTCTCAGCTCACAGATGGCGCCAATATTCTTCCCTGAAGTCACATCTAATTAGCGGCGGGCTGTTTTGACAGAGCCCAGGTAAGAAAAAGCCAAGATTATCATTTTTCGTACGTGCGAAAAAAGGCCAAATTAGATTTTGTTTTTTTTTAAAAACAAGAACGATGTAACCACGCCCGAAAATAGGAGAAAGGATGCTCGATCAATAACAATTGGTCGGAAACGGTCACGTGATCTGCGGAAAGGAAGAGAAAGAAGTGCTCGATCAGGAATCATTGGTCGAGAGCGGTCACCTGACATACGAGGGACCGGGAAAGATGGGTGTGCACCTCCCCACCAAGGGCACTGTGAGGAAGTAGGGGTGAAAACAATAGCGATAATGAGAAGACAGAAATAAGGCAGCTATTGGAATTATTGAGAAAACCCTGACGCCGACAGACCCACCCCAGTTTGTTGCGGCGTCAATAAAAGCAGGACCCCAGTCGACAGAAATCAGTTGGAGTGGAGTTGCAGCTGGACCGCGGGCAGGGAAAGAGCCTGAACGCGGGCATCGGGCCCGATTCACTCGCCCCTTTGCGGGCAAAAAGAATCCTCAGACAAGAAATCCTCCCAGCCCAAGTCGAAGACATGAGTTCAGCCCCGGACGGCAGCGAGAAGAGATCACCTCGGACGACAGAGAGTTGCGGCTGAGTTGGGGCAAGAAATCCTTCCAGCCCAAGTCGAAGACAAGAGAACTTCCAGCCCAAG